TGGACTACTGTTTTTAAGGCTGGAGCTTAACATTCTAGCAAGTGTCAACTTTTTTGTTTTTATTTTTATTTTTCATTCTGGACATGATTTACATGAAAATATGTGGCAGAATGTTGTCGTTAGCTAAGGCTAGTTAGCTAACTAGCTAGCTTGGTTACTAAGGTGCATTTGTTATATTAAAACATAATATTAAAATGCATGCTGCGGCTACTCAGACACGCAACAAAATAATTGGTACTTAGAGCAGTAAAAGTATTGATTCACCCCATATATCGTTATATTTTGATTCCAAGTAGCCAGGTTTGCTTTTTCATTAGTGTTTTTTTTTTTAGCAGTAGTTCTCCAGGCTTTCTGGTCCATTAAAGTTTTTTTCTTTGGACATTGGGTGCTTTTTCATTCAGTTGCAATCCTGTTCTTGTACTTGAGCATTTTAAAAAGAAGTGGCAGGGCTAAAAAAAAAAATAAAAAAAAAAGACAGCCCTTCAACAGATTCATCTAGTGTTCACTGAAACCTCATCATTAATGGTCACTTTGAAAGGGTGGCTGTCAAGAAGTCATTACTAAGGAAGGGAAACAGGGAGAAAAGGCACAGTTATGACAAATTACTCAAGATTTGAACTAAAAGTTGCTGAATCTGAAATTTTTGGTTCATTTCATCATCGCTATAGAGAAAGGACAAGAGAGACTCGAGCGTTTCCCCTGACAAATCTCCCAGTTAAATGTTTCCTTGTTTTTTGGTAATTTTATAATCCAATGCAACATTGAGGCATACTTCAGCCTCATTATCTCTCCGAATGCAAGACTCACTTTTTCATATTTTTGCACATTTCCCATCAAGGCTTCTAATTATTGGGCAACCTTTTTATAGATTTAGCGTTGAATTGGCATCAGTCGGTTTGTCATGCTTTTGACAGGACTTGCCATTCTTTTTTGTGTATTCATGTGGATACAGTACTCATGTGAGTGTTTTGGGGAGGGGTTTGCTTTTGCTTTTTTCTGACAACAACTGAAAAAGATATATCACGTTGTGTCCTAGATGTTAACTTTCATGTATGTGCCAGTCATTCCTATGTATTTTTCCAGGTGTAAAGAATGCCGACGAGAATGAGCTGCGCTCCATCGCCTCACAACCGGAGAGCAATCACGTCTACAATGTGGCTGACTTTAACATCATGAGCTCTATTGTAGGGGGGCTAACAAAAACAGTGTGCAAACAGGTGGAGCAGCAGGACAAAGACATCAAGCAGAGTAAGAGCAAATTGGAAAACTGAAACCTTACTAACATGCAAACAAGAATACTAGTAGGAACTCTGTGTCATGAGGAGTAAAGCATAAAGGAAAAGAGTTGTTAAACAAATAGTATCCTGAGTGATCACTTTGACTAGTTGTGTATCAATAAATGACCAAATGATAAAAAGTCAGAGTTAAAGTCTAGTTACAAAGTAAATTTGTTTACTATGAATCAAACCTTGTGTATGTTAAAAAAAAAAAAAAAAAGTTCGATGGCCTATAGGAACAGGACACCATTAAGTCAGATCGAATGTTCATTTGACCTGACTTAATGTGATTTGCACTTCAAAGTTATATCCAATCCGAGGCAGCCTGTTTGCCTGTCCTTACATTTTTGTCTTTCAGAACATATACCAGAGACAACAGGAATGCCGCTTGACCTAGTGACATCAGACATCACGGCCCAAAGCTTTCGGGTTTCATGGAGCCATGCCCCTGGAAATGTAGAGAAATACAGAGTTGTTTATTATCCCACTCAGGGAAGAGACCCAGGAGATCCACAGGAGGTAACTAGTGTATTATTTGCTGAAAACCACACATCAAACCAGCCAGAGCTGAGGAAGTCAACATATTTTATGTTGTGATATGTTTATCACAACATAAAATCAAGAAATATCCATTTTATTCCATGGACATGACTCTCTCACTCTGTTCAGCTTTGCATACAGATGTGCTGAAGGATAAGCAGCAGCTAAAAAATCCTACAGTCAGTAGGAGGAGTGTGAGGTGGGCAAAATGTACTTTTCCATAATATTTATGACACCAGGGGGAGTTATCAAGGATCGGGCAGGTTTATAGTTTGAGATCAGTTTTTCCTCGAGGCGTCAGTGCTATCGCCCATCCATACCTCTCACTTTCATCTCTCTATTCACTTCTCCCCAGAATATCTTTGCAGGTTATGACGGCTCACTAGAAATGATACTGTTGCTTGAACCAGGCACCTGCTTGATTTTTCCAGAACATTTGACCACAGAAGCCATTAAATCTCTCACTTAGCTGGGTTTACAGAGACCAGATGTTCTGGAGCCTCATGTAAAGAGACCTTTCCAGCTGGCTCACCGTGGGCCTAATCTTTATCACAACTGTCATCCTTTTAGTTCAGAATGAAAAAGAGAAATATTCTTCAAGTTTTAAGCGTTTGTGCTTTATCCCATTCAATAAATCGATTGTTTCCTTCTTCCTTTCCCATTCTCTTCCAATCTCTCCTTTCTTTCCTGGTTTTATCTCGCTTTCCTCACTTCTGTTTTTCATTTTTATGTCTCCCTATTTATTGCCTCAATTACCATTTTTCATGCCATTCTATCCCCTCCAACTCTTCACACCTTCTTTTCCATCTTTCATATTCTCTTACTTCCCTGACTGACCCTCCTGCACCCCTGCAGGCTGTAGTGGTCGGGAGTGAGTCTTCAGTGGTGTTACAGCATCTTAGCTCCGTCACTGAGTACCAACTGGCGGTGTTTGCTGTGTATGCAAACAAGGCGAGTGCAGCTCTGAGAGGATCAGAAACAACGCGTAAGTTTATTCTTGCAAACACACATAAGTGTGCTTATAAGGCTCCACACTCAGAACACAATTTAATAACAATGGCTTAAAAAGTTACAGCTGCAGAAGCCAGACATATTGAAAATGCACTTACAGTGCTGTGCAAAAGTCTTGAGCTATTTCTTTATATTCTGCTTCCAAGGAGTTTTCCTATCATTTTTTTAAAAAGGGTTCAGTCTTGAAGAATAATTCTCCAGGCTCTCTGTAGGGATTTCAAAGTTTTTCTATCTTTCTATCTAAAACTATAGAAAGAAAGTAAAGCAGATTAACAGTATCTGAAGTTCATGTGAGTACGAAAAAGGAAAATGTCCAGCAAAGACCCGACACAGGACCTTAGAGATGCATTTTGCCCATTGGTTGCTTTTTCACAGCGGTGTTGGAGATCTTGTCAAAACTGATACAATTATTAATGCAGAAATCCACAGTCAGATTTTTGTTCACCATGAAATACAATCTGGACAGACTGATTGGCAAAGGCTTCATTTTCCCACATGACAATGATCCGAAACACACTGCCAAAGCAGTAAAAAAAATATGCTTGTAAGGACTTCATAATAATATCACATTATTAAGGTTTTAGTAAAGCTTTAGCAAGTTCTTAATTCATCATTTATATATCATATCATCATTCCAATATGAATGATGAATTAAGTACTTGCTAATATCTTACTAATAATATTAATAAAGCTTAATAGTGTGACATTATTGTAAAATGCTGCTGTATTCTTATATATACTCCACAGTGGAGTACTATCTGTCATGGATTGGCCTCCCCAGAGCCCAGACGTCAACATTGTTGAAGCAGTATTTGAACATCTCGTCAGAGGGACATACAACATCATTTAAATACCTCTGACAGATGGAAAGAAGAGCTTTGAATGTCCTTCGAGAAGCCTGGAGAGAACTTGAAGATCTCTTAAAGAAGAAAGCTTGAAAGCTTGGATAAATATATTAATATATATTAAAAATATATGGTTGGCTCAATACTTTGCACAGCAGTAACTAATACAGCAATAAAGAATTTTATGCTTAAAGGTCAAATCTACCTTAAGCAGTATACCCTGATGTTTATAGTTATTACAAAAATCCATTCATGTGATTCCTCCTTTATTGAAATTTGCCATGTTATTTTGTTTTTTGCTGTGTCGCAATGTGTGTGTATGCTGTGTGTGTATGCATGTAGTGGCTCTTCCCACAGTCACCGGCCTCCAGCTGTTTGATGTGAGTCACAACACCATGAAAATAAAATGGAACAGTGTGGATGGAGTCTCTGGCTACATGCTGCTTTATGCACCTCTGACAGATGACTTGGATGAGAAAGAGGTAGTAACAAAAAATAACAAAATAAGGGGAGGATGAATTGTTTATTTAGTTCAAAGTTGTAAACCTGGAATTTGCTAACATGACATCCAAAGTTTTGTTTTAAATCCTGAAGTTTCTTTTTGTCCCTAGATAAGGGTGTCAGATGCAGTGACGGAGCTGGAGCTGGATGGGTTGATCCCTCACACCGAATACACCGTCACTGTTTATGCCATGTTCGGCGAGGAGGCCAGTGAACCTGTTACAAACCAGGAAACCACATGTGAGTAATGCACACCCAAACAGTTTTTAATTCTTAGCCTTTTTTATTAAAATTAATAAAAATTCAAATAACCCAATAGTCAGACATTCAAACATTGTAAAAGAGAAAACTGGATCATATGTGTTCTTCATAAAAAGTGTCCTTAATCTCAAAAACTCAGACTGGTTCTCATGAAGCTGGTAAAAATGGCTGAAACAGTGATGTTTTCTCCAAGGTCAAAGCTCATAGTTGTTATGCAGCAATAACTGTAGACAGCTGACCTTGTTTCCATATATGATAATAGTCTGCTCTGATTGTCTCTTACAAAATAAGAAAAATTAGCCTATTTATTGTATTAAAGAAATTAAATCCAAGTGTCTTTGACTGATGTCTAATTTAGTCACTTAATCATTGTGAACAGACGTCCATACCATGTCCACTCCGTGTACGCCGACTACTTCATTGTTTTCCAACCATTTGGAGCCACGGCACATATTTCACATTAGAAAAATCACACGGCACAAAAAGCATATTTATAATTTTTCCTCGTGCACCAGGTATAGTGGAATTAGCTCGGTTTGTCACCAGTATACCATTTTTTCTTTCTTCTGACCACTACTCATGCTAGGGCCTTCTCCATGACCCAGGTCAGATTGACTACTTTTGCTTTTCAAATATTTATCGACTGCTATCTGGCTGTGTCGTCTCACTCACGGCATGACTATTACGTAATTTTGTCTTTGCCTTCTTCTGTTTTTACTGGCAGTTGGCAACCCAACTGCTAGTGGCAGTACAACTACTACTAGAGGGTAGTTGTACTGCCCTCTAGTGGAAGAGAATGTAATTGTTCTGCCCGTTACTCATGCCGGTTGCTTAAAGGTGGAACCTGATTAGTTCACATGAAGCCTAACAAGCAGTTAGCAGCACCCACCCATCACCAACAGCTTTATACTTAATATTAATTTAAATGGGTGAGGTAAAAAGAAATCACACCGCGAGCAGTTAATATGTCCAAAAAATACCAAAACTACTTTTATACAAGGCTGAACACATGCTCATTTTTGCTCCAAAGTTAGACTCAGTCTTTGGCATGGGCTTCATTTTTTTCACAGCCAGGGTTTAACGCCTGATCAGCCTGAGCTTTCTCTGTCTCTCCCCCTCCAGTACCACTGAGTCCTCCCAGCAACCTCCAGTTTTCTGACATTACCCACAACTCGGCCCACATCAGCTGGGACCCCGCGCCTAGTGGAGTTAATGGTTACCGCATCATGTGGGACAAGACAGATGGACTAGTCACAGACGAGGTGACGTGTGACCGTTTTTTTTTTTTCTTTCATGTTTTGGGAATTTTGTTTCTGAGTGGCAAGATGAAATAAGAAATGAGAAAAAAAGAAATGAGAAAGGGATGAACAGTCGAATAATAAAGGGCTAAAAGCCTAACAATAATCATATGAATGGAAAATTTACAGATACTGCAGTTTACGATACTGATAAAGCTTAGTCTTCTGGAAATGTTCTGTGTTATGAATATCATAGATGAAGACTTGAAAAATATCCCTACATTGAGTCTTAGTAGACTTGCTGTCTTTCAAGTTAGTAGCGTTTATCTTGTTCTCTGTTTAAGAGGCATAGCAGTGGGTTTGTCTGTGGCTACATGATGTTTCTCTGTGTTTCCTGCAGGTGGAGGTTGGTTCAGTGAGTTCTTATGACCTCGGTGAGCTGACGTCTTTGACGGAGTACTCAGTGGCAATTTTTGCCCTGTACAACGAGGGCGAATCAGAACCGCTCACCGATGCGTTCACCACCAGTAAGAAACTGGCATTTGACTTTTGCGAGTCGCCGTCACCAGTGGAGAACAAATTTTTGTTTTCTGTATTCTTGTTTCCCAACATCTCTGTTGAGGACAATTTAGCCTCAATCTCCAGAAAATAGTTCTATCAATATCATTAAAAGGCAAACCATTTCTCTTATAGTGCCAAACAGTGGTGAATTTTATTACCCTCAGTGGTCCTTTTGCTATTTTGGCAGCCTGCCCATCACATTTACACCTCAGCATAATAGCCCAGTCACATTAAAAGGTCATTTCACTGTCCCTGACTATTCTGTCACGCTAACAGATATTGATTTGTTGGAATATCCCTTTGCAACAAGCAGTTGGGCTCCAGCGCTGAGTCAGCTCAAAGAAATGTGTCTGGCAAGCAACTATTAAACTATCCACTTTAAAAGGACCGTTTGCATTTTTATTTATCTCCTGGCAAAGTTTGTTTAATGGACCAGTTTTCAGAAAGGGGGCTTTATGAACTAACAAAAATGCAATGGCACGTTTCAGCTGTTTGAGTGGGAAGCGGTAGGTTCACACCAAAACGGTGCGACGGTGCTTTTCCGAGAACATTTTGCTGAACTGACAGTTATGTTATAAATTGGCTCAGCAAAAAAGTTTCATAAACTTACAGTGTAATCGGGGCAGAATTGAAAATATTATTGAATTTATGTGAATATTAACACATGAGAAAAAAGGAGGGGGAAAAAAAGTCTCAGCTTTTCTGTCTTTCAGCTCCAGTTCCTGGTCCTCTGAATCTACACTCCAGTGAGGTCAGCACGGACAGCTTTAAGGTCAGCTGGGATCACTCAGCCAGTGACATTATTCTCTACAGACTCTCCTGGACACCATTCGATGGTGGCAACACAAAAGAGGTTAGTTCCACTAAAATACAGAAGGTACAGCACTGTGCAAAAGTCTTGAGCCATCCTCCTTTTTCTGTATTTTGTTAGGAAAATACTTCAGTAATGTTGACGTCCAGGGTCTGGGGAGACCAATCCATGACAGATAGTACTCCACTGTCGGCTTTTCTGTATAAGTATACAGTAGCATTTTACAATAATGTCACACTAATAATTATTAAGATATTAGTAAGCGTTTAATTCATTATTTATGCCGCATTGCCATTTGTAAATACAGATATATTATTATTACTATGATTATTATTAGTTACTAGCAGTGCATGCTACACCATGCACAGCAGTATACTAAGGAGGAATGATGATAAATAAAATATGAATTAAACACTTGCTAAAACTTTACTAATACCTTACTAATGCTTAAAAGTATGATATTATTATGAAGAGCTATCAAGTATATTTTTACTGCTCTGGGTCTGCGTTTGGGATCATTGTCATGTGGAAAAATGAAGCGTTTGCCAATCAGTGTTTCCAGATGGCTTTGGCTGGTGAATCAAAGTCTGACTGTACTTTTCTGCGCTCATAATTGCATCACTGGCTAAAATTCAGCTCCCAAAGCATTACACAGTCTCCACTTGTTTGTAGTTGCAGATACACGTACGTCTCTCCTGACCTTGACATGTTGATGACAATATGAACAAAAGATTTCAGACCTGTTGCTTCTCATTTTCATCCCAGTTCTTTATCCCAGTTCTGGCCCTTCAGGTCAGCTGAAGTGGCAGAGGCATCTCTCAGGTCCTGTGTCAGATGAATTTTCTCCTATTTGTTAAATGCAGGACTTTCAGATACTCTTCATCAGCCTACCACTTCTTCTTTTGCCACTTTTTCAGTTTCCTAAATATCTTGGGACTGCACGCCATCCCAAGATATTTTATCCCAGGTTTTGTACTAATAGCTCTTTGGGAATCTTTAAAAATGTATAAGAAAGTTTGGCTTCTTGGTAGCAAAATATAAAGAAATAAAGGCTGGCTTCAGACTTTTGCACAGTACTGCATGGTGTTTTAGATCAGTAAGAATCAAGCATCCAACAGCATAGAATCACAAGGTTAAGCTTGCAGTGTTATTATGCAAACAAAACATATTATTAAGCATCTGAAGAAAATAATCTGCATGGATTTCATTTAGCCTGGAGTCCAGTCATTATCTCTTTTTAAGAGGAAGCAGTAGCTCCACTCCATGCGCACGGATAAAGAGCAGTCTGTCTCCTATAGACTTACACAGAAGCTTAACTACACTACCGGTAGCTGGTAAAACCTCTGGCTTGGTTGAGTATAAATAAAGGCTGAATAAATCTAGAAATTAATGGCTAGGGTGTTTTATTACTATGATCTGGGGTTTAGAGACAGCTGCAAGGCAGCGATAGAGCCCTTAGAGTGTGTGTCTGTGTGTGTGTTTGTGTGTTTTGCTGAGAGTCATCGAAGCTGAAAATAACACTCTGGGGAGCTGGAGAGGTGGGCTGGTAATACCGCCAGACTAGAGAAAGGGATACATGCAGCTTTTCTCTGTTTCTCACCCACATACTCCGTGTGCTGGCACACACACACACACACACACACATTTACATCCTTCATCGATTTTCTCGGTATTGTTACATCTGAGAGGGGATTAGACATAATGCATACAGCACAGAGTGAAATGTTATCCATACAAAAACTTTATGATAATTTGATATTTTTCTTTTTAAGTTGTCTTTTCTTTTTTCAAAAACGTATCTGCATGAGTCTCAGGAAACAATAAAATAAAACAGAAAATTTTACATTAAATGGAAGAAGATGTAAAAAGGAAAGGGAGACAATGACTCATAAACAATACACTTGCTTCAGGGAAAGCACAAATTGCCCCCGTTGGTAAAATCTGCATGCAACTGTACCTCGGAGGGTTTTGCAAAGAAACAAATACCTCCGCATAATCTGGTTATTGAGCCATCTGGAGCAAATACTAATTTCAGGGTTTCTCTCGGTAGAAGTGTGCTGTACTCTTGTTGACCTCTTTGTGTGTACCTTGGGGTCTGATTTTTTTCTGTGTAAAACAATTTGTAGTGGTTCTTTGGACTAGTGCAGATGCAGCAAGTCCAACTGGAAGCATTTTGTGTTCGTAGGAAACCACACACACCTGTGATAGTTATATCATAGGAAACATGTAATCCAGTAAGACTTATGCTCATGTTATTTTTGTTTTGTTCAACATAACAATGAAAATACTACATGTAATCTCCATGCATACCTGCTTCATTACCACCTGCACTACCATTTCCTGCTGTTTCTCCCTCTACCTGCAGAAATTATGAGATGACTTATTATTTTAGGTTTTCAGCGGCTTTCTCTCCTAAAACTCAGTCACGACCTTGGAATTTGACAGCCTGGAGTTTTTCATTAGAGTATTAATAACATCATCAGACTGTTTGATAACATTCTTGCTGTTTTGCAATATTTGAACTTACAAAATTCTTCAGATTCAACTTGTTCTGGCAAATATAGCAGCAAATAAAAGCACAAATCACTTAAAGTTTTTAAGTGAGTTTATCACTTAACTGTAATTGCTTCAGTAACAATACTGCTGAAAGTACTGTATATATTTTTTGTTTTGTCTGAACAAACAGGTTATAGAACAACAAAATCTGACATTTTTGGAAACTATCAGCCATCACGTCTCTAAAGTTCGGAGAGACCGCGCTGTTGGAAATCAGATCTAATATGAGGTTTGTTTCTTTCCTGTAGGTGGTCTTGAGTGGAAGTGATAACAGATACTCACTGACCGGCCTCAGTCCCTCCACTGAGTATGAAGTTATGCTGACGGCCATATTCAAAGACAAGTCTGAGAGCGACACAGTCTTTGTCACTCAAACCACATGTAAGTGTGACGAGGTTGTTTAACTCACAGAGCTGTGAGTTTTTGCTTTATCTAATCAATATTAAACTTGACAATAGTAAGGCTCACGGCTTTCCTTGAGATGTAATTCCTCCTGATAGAGCACTGCTGTCTGCTTATTATAACAGATCAGTGCAATCACATGTGCATTTAGGATAAGAAAATGAGCATTTCTGAGTCAAAGCAAAGCACTGCATGAACACATTTGCATTGATTTGTTTGTCTCAGCTTATCTCAGGAGAAGAAAATCTATTTTACCATCAGTGATTTGTTACGTATTCCTGTCTAATTGGCTTACTTATCGACACAAAGAGTTGTTGAGCAGAGTTTGAATCCAATTATCTGATTTGTCCTCTTTGTATTTCCCCAGTGCCCACACAGACAACAACAACTTCTACCAAAACCACAGGTAAGAAGCGTCCGAGCTGGCTTTCTGTAAAGCTTCAAAATGTCAGCAAAAACCAGGTCAGCAAGTCTTAGGTAAAACTGTGCCATGAAACTTAAAAGCAGTTGCTTTAATTTTTTTGCTAGCATGTGTCCAGTGGACAGAAGGCTAATTTCACTTGGTACTTTTTCTGAAAAACTATCCCTGCAAAGAGACTGGCCAAATTTTAATCATGGCTCAAGCCAAGGCATCTGTCAAGGAAGGCAATTTCCATTTTAATGCGAAAGGCTCCACTAGCTGCCAGTGCAGACCTATGTTGCCAAAGTGAAAACGTAGTTCTCTTAGTCCTTGTAGCAGATTTTTGGCCATTGTTGCTTATTTATTTTCAAGAAGCAAAAGCAAAATTACCGAGTAATTAGAAAAAGAAATGTTGAAACTGTTCATTTTAAAGAGAAAGTTGAAATGCTGATAAGAGTCTCTCCTAGAAGTTTGAATTTATATAAGTGTGTTTACCAAGTTGGCTTCATCCAGAGACTGGAGTTCAGATTCTGGCTTCTCAAAGGTGACCAAAGGCCATCTGGAATGGGTTTTTGTTGTTTTAGAAGCAGACTACAGCTAATTGAGTCTTGTGGCTTCAAAAGCTTACAAAAGCAACATGTCTCCTTTACTTAAGTTTTTGCCCACTGTCCTAGAAAGTTTCACACAGCACATCTGCTTTGTTTAAAAATCCAAGTGGCCCTCTAAAAAGCACAGTTCAAAGCAGCCGACTAAACACCAGCAGGTTGCCTTTGTTTAAGAAAGAAGAAAAAAAAATCATAGTTAGTGCTTTAAGGATGCATCATATAAGCTAAACAAAAGCTTTTTGTGAGTGCTTGTGAGAATACTTTTCTTTAGCACCCCAAATCACAGTGTGTCGAGCTGAAACTGAAACTTTCACGCTGGCTTTTTCCCCCTGATATTTTTACAGTGTGAAGAAAATAAAGTTTGAGCCAAGCCTCATTTTTTGAGAAATAATATCTAGAGTAATTTGGTACAGTAACAGCGAATCTGTGATGTGGTGTCTCAGCGGCACGTCAGGCTGTGAGAAACCTTCAGCTGAGTGACGAGACCACCCAGAGCTTAGAGGCTTCGTGGGAGCTGGAAGACCCCAACGTGGAGAGCTACAGGGTCGCCTACACAAGCCTCAGCGGAGATCACAAGGACTCTGTGAGTTGGAGGTTTAAGGGTTTATGTTAGTTCCCAGATTTTAATTTTTTTTTTCCCTCTCAAGAGGTGTTTTAGATCCGGGTTACATGTTTGCAGCTTCTAAAGCTGCCCTCCATCACAAACTGCCTCCCTGGTGAATTGTGAATGCTGATTATGTGGAATAGACAACTAAAAGTTTTTTTTGGAGGAAGATTATTGTTGTTTCCCACCTCCATCCAACTGGATGGCCCTGCAGCGGTCAGCGTTGGGTCGTCTGCTACAGTCAGAAAACTGATTACACTTTTAGTCCCGGGCCACTTAGCCCCTCGTTCTTGATCCCTCTATCTCTTCCAAGAGCCCTTGAGCTCAGTGCCATGTACTGACCCTGATCGCTGATGCGCACACACACACACACACACACACACACACACACACACACACACACACACACGAGTAGTCAGCCTTTCCCTTATTCTTCTTCTGTCCCTCTATCTCTCTGTTTCTCTTCTCTATCCTCCAGCCTCCCTTCACTCCCCCTCCCCTCTTTTAATTTCCCAATGTGGTGTCAGAGCCGTAGAAGATGGAGAGTCCAGGCCAGGCCGGCAGACATTCCATTATCTTTTCAGCAGCCATTTACCTCACTGCGAGTGGGGATGGAGGGCAGCAGAGAAAAGAGCAAAAGAAACAAAGGGAGGTGGGAAGAGAAACAAAAGCTGCACAAAATGCGAGGAAGCTTAAACCTGTCTGCCGGCTGATGGCCAAGGCCGTTCCAGGTCACACGTCTTTTCCAAAGTTTCGGCATGTTTTGGTCCGGACGTGTATGAAAGACAGATGAAAGGAGAAAGAGAGAAAACTCTGTTTGTTTGTTTATGTACCTGAAAATGCACGCGTGTGTCTGCACCTCCACTTGGACACAGTGTTTCAGCACCCAAGTCACAGTGGACAGCTCCTCCCCATCCTTTGGCTCTGAATAGCCTTGTCTCAACACTCATGTCACGTCTTGGTGTAGAAGTTGAAGACCAAGAAGGCAGGACGTGCAAAAATGAGATAAACACAAACAGTAAATTGTAAAGAATAACTGTAATCCAATAGGGTCCAGAAAAGATGAAGACCAGGTAATACAAGACATTCACAACTGTACATGGATGATGCAGTTCACACCTATTGCTATTTATAATATCAGTTAACAGGAGTTAGTCAGTTTTTAGTCCTGACAGTTTTCAATGAGGAGAGAAAATTTGAAAGAACTGAACTTAATTCATAGTAATAAAATTTTCAGCAATTAGACTCCGAGGAAGCTACATTAGCAGAGCATAGTCCAAAAGTGATACAAAGTAGGACAGGACCTCCCCAGGGCCTAAATCCTGGTGGTGGCAGAGATGAAGCAGTGGAGACCCGATAATGAAGTAATATGAAGACTAGACTAGCAGCCCAAACACCCAGGAATGCAGGTAGAAGAGTGAATACTGAATAATCTTCCTTACTGAACTTGACTAAAAGTTTCATTATTGAAAGATTGAAATAACTTGGTTGTGTCAGTGCCACGTAGTTTTTCAAGCTCAAATGACTTACAGTTTAGTTACAGATATCCTCAGTTAGATGCCAGAGCAGTCAAAGTGTGCTTTTAAACTGCGTTGCATAATCTCAGTAGTCACGGTTGTTATGGAGCTGCAAATGACTGTAATTTTCATCATTCTAAGCACTTTTAGAGGAGCAATTCGTAATGCTCAACTTTTAGTGCTCAAGCCAACATGACTGAGAGCATGAGTGCTCTGCATAATGAAAACTTTGACCTCCTACAGTTTCAGGACAGCTGCGGATGAACAATATGTGTGCTACAGTGTAGCTGAAAGCACCTTTAATAAAATCCACTTGGTGTAACTTATCGAGATTGTTTTGCCAGCCAGTGAATCTCATTCTTAGTGTATCTCTATCAGGTTTTAAGTATACTGTAAATTATCAGTCTCATCATGATTAGCTTGTTGCCGCAGAAGAAATACTCAGAGTACAGGGGGTGGAGGTGCGGGCTGTTGGATAAAAAAGGAGCTAATTTAAACCAAGTGGTACTTTTAGGATGCAAACAAACATCCAGGGAAATATTTCAACAGTTATAAATGAAGACGGGGCAGTAATGGGGTTTTTCTCAGCTATTCCCTGCCCCACTTTTGCCATCAACTGACTTTATTGACTGAGCTGAATTGAAAAGACTTCTTAAACTTCCTCCAAATGTCCCTTTAACCCACCAGAGCAAAGATGCTGTTTCTATACCCAGTGTGCTATATATATATATATATATATATATATATGTGTGTGTGTGTGTGTGTGTGTGTGTGTGTGTGTGTGCCTGTGGCCCATTCAAATGTTCCCAGAATGTGTGCATTCACGTGTGTGTTTGCAATCGTAGATGTCAGTTTCTGGAGGTGAGAGGAGAGCAGTGCTCGAGCCTTTACAATCAGACACCAGCTACAAAGTGACAGTCACTCCGGTGTACAGCGATGGACAAGATGGCCTTGGTGCATCTGCCATGGGTTCCACATGTAAGGCTAACAAACACACAAAATGCAAAGCGCACACACACACACACACACACACACACATCCCTGCCTTACTGTATTGACCATAATGCTGCGTTTCTCCCTTTTCACGACACAAAGATGCAGCTCCCGGTTTAGGAGAATACTGGAAGTTAATGACAATGAATTTCATCGCTGTGAGCAGAGCGTTCATTTGCATTGCATTAATTTCATGTTCATTTACGTTCTTGAAGGAGATTATAAATCAAAGCCACGACAAATACTGATGCATTCCTAATTGTCTTAATGAAGGCCACTCATAATTGCTGCAGTGCCTTTCATTAATGAGACGATTAAATTATTTTGCTCAGGTCTAATTGATTTTCTCAACTATTCTCTAGATTACCTCTTATGAGCCAGCAGTGGCTGTCTCCTCATCGCGCACAGAATTGAAATGTCAGACAAAACATGTCTTCTTTTTAGTTGAGAGCACTATAAGTCATTGTAATGCAAATAAAAATCTACTTAGCTTGAAGAATTATGCATCAGAGCCTGGTGTACAGTAAGAGATGATTTTGTGTGTTTTTTTCAGTGATGAATATTATTCCCTAAATCAGTTCCTGAAGTAATGTGTTATTTCTCTAATTGTGGGAAGTGCACAACTCACACTCAGCCCTGTCAAGGCTGGATATTAGACCTGTAACACCTAAAAGCGTCTCTTGTAAATTCAAAGACTCTCAAGTGCTGAAAGCATGAAAAATTGTCCCAGTGGACAGCAATTGTTCTATCAAGCTGAATATAAGCGCTGAGCTTCAGATTTATATAATTAAACATTAATTTTATCATTTTTATTTAGAAGTCCTTGGGTTGATTGTCTTTATAACTGATGACTTAGGTGAATTAGTTCTTATGTTAAAGTTTTAGCATGTGTTAGTAATATCAGCTGCAGTTCTTAGAAGCTCTTCTATGTTCTGGTTTTGCTTTGTTTTTGGCAGTGCCGCTCTTGCCTCCTGAAAATCTGCGTGTGTCAGAGGAGTGGTTCAATCGCCTCAGGGTGTCGTGGGATCCACCTCGGTCTCCTGTTGAGGGTTA